ATCTCCCCATAACAAGAAAAAGCTATTGCATATACCCATTAGGACTTGCTTGGGAGTTTTGGGGTACCGATTATGATAATTTTTTTTTTTTTTTTTAAGTATTGATTTTAGATGTTTAATTTTGGATATTTTAGTAGCGATTTATAAAACAGTTCAGCCCATTTTTAGAGAGTTTATTATCTCCGAAAGTTTTTTAAAATAATAAAATTAAATATAGCTCATAAGTGAGTTTTATTCATAATTATAATTTTATTATTTTAAAAAAATTTATACTTAGGCAAATTGTTACATATAAATAATTTTTATATTTATAAGTGACTATTGTCTTATTAGTATAATAAAAAATTTTTTACACAAAAGTGAATTTTTATCTTATAAGTAATTTTTACTAATACGTAAATTTTTAATTTATAAGTAAATGTTTTGCTGATAAATAATTTTATATTTCTTGTATTTTTATTCATAATTTAATTTCGAATAAAATATATGGATTGAAAATAAGCGCCTGTTTGTTCTGCATTATTTNATCTCCCCATAACAAGAAAAAGCTACTGCATATACCCATTAGGACTTGCTTGGGAGTTTTGGGGTACCGAATATGATAATTTTTTTTTTTTTTTAAGTATTGATTTTAGATGTTTAATTTTGGATATTTTAGTAGCGATTTATAAAACAGTTCCGCCCATTTTTAGAGAGTTTATTATCTCCGAAAGTTTTTTAAAATAATAAAATTAAATATAGCTCGTAAGTGAGTTTTATTTATAATTATAATTTTATTATTTAAAAAAAAAAAATTATACTTAGGTAAATTGTTACTTATAAATAATTTTTATATTTATAAGTGACTATTGTCTTATTAGTATAATAAACATTTTTTACACGAAAGTGAATTTTTATCTTATAAGTAATTTTTAATCATACGTAAAATTTTAATTTATAAGTAAATATTTTGCTGATAAATAATTTTATATTTCTTGTATTTTTATTCATAATTTAATTTCGAATAAAATATATGGATTGAAAATAATTATTTTATAGATGTTAAAATTGAAAAGAATTTGAGAAATAACAAAAATTCACTGATTTATGGATTGAGAAATACGATTAAAATTATAGTAATTTTTAAATCAACCAAAATCAATGTCCAAAAAATTTACAAGCATGGATTTTCTGAACCAAGCAACCTATGTTTTATTAAAGAAGAAAAATGTTCCTCTATCAGGCTTTGGTTCACAGGTGGATTACAGGCTCTCTCTCAATGAGGTGGGCCCCACGTGCAATAAAAAATGCCCAAAAAAATACCCACCCTGTTGAATTTCAGATAGTAAATATGATGAACAATAGTTGTATTGTTATATGTTCTGATTTACAATGGGAGAATAGTGGTAGCTTATATAGAACGATAAGCAACGGTTGCCTATGTTCTATGCTAATGTTGACCTACTGTACAATACAAGAAATTGGTTAAAAGTAGAGTAGCTACTTCTCTGAATACTGCTGCTCATTTTTTACCTAAAGTGGCCTATGATGAATTGACCCTTCACAGGTCTGAGGCCTGTGATGAACTGATACTTTCACTGATCTGATGCCATCCTAACATAGCCTATGATGAACTTAAGATCTGAGGCTATTATGTTTACTAGTTCTTTCAACACTCCCCCTCAAGTTGGGTTCGAATAAATTTATTGATCCCAACTTGCCAAGAATGTTAAGATGACTAGTTTTGTCGAGTGCCTTTGTAAAG